AAAAAAAAAAAAAAATAGAATGAGTATGTGTAATGTCTATTAAGAGGTAATTAACATGGGAAAAATACAATAAAAGCATGGTACTTATTTGTTAGAAATCTAAAAACTACAGAAAGTTTTACCTATCCTATAGAAATAAAGTTATTTTATTTTGTTTTATTTTTATTTTTATTTTTTTTTTGAGACAGAGTCTCACTCTAGACGCCCTCAGTAGAGTGCTATGGCAGCAAAGCTCACAGCACCCTCCAACTCTTGGGCTCAAGGGATTTTCTTGCCTCAGCCTCCGAAGCAGCTAGGACTACAGGTGCCCACTGGCTATTTTTACAGATGAGGTCTCACTCTGGCTCAGGATGGTCTCGAACTCATGAGCTCAAGCAATCTACCCACCTTGGCCTCCCAGAGTGCTAGGATAACAGGCGTGAGGCACCGTGACCAGCCGAGACAAAGTTATTATTATTATTTTAAAGAAACTATTAATGAACATTTTAATCAAACTAGCATCTATATCAACCTGTTTATTATATATATATGTACACACACACACATACATTTATTGGAGTATATAATTTATCTAAAGTAAATTCTGCACATAAAAAAATCTGTATTCATAGAGCTACTTATTGGGCATGAAAAAGAATATAAGAAAATGTACCAACTACCAACTTAGGAATAGGAGAGCAGTTAAACAAATTATGGTGGTTAATAAACTGAAGCATCGCATTGTGATTGTAAAAGATACTCAGGAAGAAAACCAAAAAAAAATGTATATGATAAAACAGTGACAAAATACAAATGGCCTGCCAATTCCAGGAGACTGAGACAGCAGCCTCTGCACACGTAACAGCACAGATCACTGAAGATCCTAGAAGGAAAATGCATACTCGAAAAGAGCTGCTTTACATTGGGGTTGTTTCTCTAAGGGTTATTTGAAATCATCTTCACACATACCCCAAAGAGAGCAAAAAGTGCCCTGTGTCTCCTACCTTAGGGCCGCTCTTAGTGTCGTAGTTCATCTGGAAGGCAGCTGAGAATTCGGCCATTATGCAAGCTGTCCCGTTGCCATTTTTCACCACAAACACTGCCAGTGCACCGTGCAGGAGGCCTGCCAATTCCAGGAAAGACAGTGATCATCAGATACCTTTTTGAAAATACAACTGGGTACTTTCATTTTCTACAGCTGTAGCAGTAATGGAATTTTTTTTTTTTTTTTGAGACAGAGTCGCACTATGTCACCCTCACAGAGTACCATGGCATCACAGCTCACAGCAAACTCTTAGACTTAAGCGATTCTCTTGCCTCAGCCTCCCAAGTAGCTGGGACTACAAGCTCCTGCCATAATGCCTGGCTTTTTTGTTGTCATTGTTGGTTAGCAGGCACCAGCCAGGTTCGAACCCACCAGCCCCAGTGTATGTGGCTAGTGCCCTAACCACTTAGCTACAGGCACCAAGTCAGTAATGGAATTTATTAGAGGATTCCACAGTGTTACGTAAACCACTACAGAACTAGACAAGTGGATTGTGCAGGGTGGGTCACCTGGGGCTCTGCCCCTCCTGGCTACTATTCTGAAATTGTGATCACTAAGCCCTTCTGATCAGCCTGCCCACCCACGCCTACAGCTATCCAGTGCTCTATTTTAGGATCCTCACCAGGAAGGTACATGCCAGGCTCTGGTCCAGCCTAAGCACACTATGCTCCAGGTCTCCCCTGGGGAGCCTTGAATGCATCCCTCACCCTAACTGCTGGTCTTCTGCAAAAATCAGTGAGAGAGCTGGCAGTATCTGTCACTGCAGTTTTTACTTCTCACAGAGTAGTGGTGCAGTGAGAAACACCATGGACTCTGAGATCTTAGCTCTTTACCCAATTTCAGAAAGTCATCAAAGCACAGTGATTCCACATAACCTGAACATGGCTATGAAGCCGCACGCACATTACTCCACCTACCTAGACGCATCCTGAAGTAAAGGGACAGTCTGGAAGCTCGTGGGCCTTCCAGCTTAACAGTGGTCACTGGCTTCTTCATGTTTCACTGCCCTGATTAAAAAATGTTTAGCAGCAAATGTAAGCTGATCAATACAGTAGAGAACTTGGTGATTTCACAAAGAGTGTGCTTTACTACATAGTTCTTTTAGAGACTGGCAAAAATAAACAAGCCACTATTGGGTAGCGAAACAACATGCTGTCCCTTGTCTCTGCTACAAACCATGCACACACCCTTCCAGCAAGCCATCTGATTTTTTTTTTTGCATTTTTGGCCGGGGCTGGGCTTGAACCTGCCACCCCCGGTATATGGGGCTAGCGCCCTACTACTTGAGCCACAGGCGCCACACAAGCATCTGGATCTGATATGCCACCTGCATGAGCACGTCCTCCAATGACATTCACATGCCTGCATTCTAATCTATCACTCTAAGGGTAAATATGACTCAAGCAAACTGCAGGCAACATACCAAAAGAAAAGTCACTCAACTTTTCTTTTAGAATCCTATTCTCTGGCTCAGCACTCGTAGCTCAGTGAGTAGGGTGCTGGCCACACACACTGAAGCTGGAGGGTTCGAGCCCAGCCCAGGCCTGCTGCTAAACAATGACAACTGCAATAAAAACAACAGCCAGAAGTTGTGGTAGGTGCCTGTAGTCCCAGCTACTCAGGAGGCTGAGGCAAAAGAATCACTTAAGCCCAAGAGTTTGAGGTTACTGTGAGCTATGATGTCACAGCACTCTACCCAGGGCAACATATTGAGACTCTGCCTC